TATATATATATATACAGTATATGAAGCTTACAGTACAGTAGATTAGCAGAGAGCTAAGAGTGGAGACGGATGGGGGAGTTTACTGGGAGGGAAATAAAAACTGGGGGATAAGAGAGAGGCAGTGGGAGTGAGAGATAAGAAAGTAAGAAAGAGTGGCAGGAAAAGGTGGAAGGATAAACGAGTGGGATGTCAACTTATGTACTCCAAGTCAAAGCTCAGGTAGTCGGTTAAGTGATGGAAAGGGAAATGACAGGTAGAGGAGATTTGAGGAGAGAAAGGAGATTTAAACAAGGAGACTTACATTGATTCCTTCCCAGGAAAACTCGGCACGGCCATGCTGGGGAAGGAGGGAGAGAAGGGCGGAGGAAAGACGGAGGACAGAGGGGGGAGAAAAGTACAAGAAGGTGTAGCAAAGGAGGGAAGAGAAAAAGGCAGATTAAAAGAGGAGGGTGTCAGATATAAAAAGTGCTATTAATTCTGAATTTGAACATTTACATTTTGGATGTGAGGCTTTCGTATTTTATTTTTAAATGCACCAAATTATATATGTTTGTTGCTCTTGTAAAATGAAGATTCACATTTATTTTGAAGGTCAGAAAGGACTAAAGCTCAAAAGGTCATTTTAGTTTTTTATTTTCTGGATGTCAGGACCATATGTGGTTGGACTCTGGCTATATTTCTAGAGAACTGGAAGGTTGCTGAGTGCAAATGTAATCTTTGAATGTGAGTTTGTGTTAAATGGGAATTTTTGTCTACATAGACAGTAACACATAGGTGATTTTCTTTGATTTATCACAGTTTATTGCTGTAATACCACAAACAGATTGGATGTAATTGCCAACTTGAGTCTATTAAAATGCCAGCTGATCTTCATCTTCATCTCATGCAACATTTGTAGCGGATTTTAGTGATAGTGTTGCTCGACAATCTCATTTTGCAGCAAAAAGATAAATAAATAGCTGAAGTGAGATAACTGTATCTTATTGGATACAACAGATATTGACAAAGTTTAACTTTAATATCTGAATTTGCTTTCAAGATCAGATTCATGTTAACCTCAAATCCACGACGAACTGTTGCAGATTAATATTTTCCTTAAACCAGTCTGCTCGGTCCGGACTGTGTTTGTGAAACATACGCTGGAACCCACAAACTGAACTACATGGCTCTTTATGTGAGTCATACAGTGTATGTGTGAACATTACTACAACAGTCTAATCTCACAAGACTTAAAAGGCTTTATTTTAATCAGCAGAGTCAGACTTTAGAGAGGAATAAGTAGACGAGCCGGAGGAGAAAGTGCAATCGCGTGTGAGTGTGGCGCTGTGTATGCGATCAGCTGCACTCGCCCTCTTCGCTTATACACGCTGCATTGAATGTTTAGGTAACCAATGGAACCCACCGAGGAGTGACACTGTTGCTGGGGGCAACAGCAAATCTGATGGGTGGCCAGACCAAAGTGCCATGTCCTCACATGCACACACACGGATGCAATCATGCACATTCATCACACTGTACAGCAGACACAAAGAGTGAAAGAGGAACACGTTGAAACTGTGGTTGCTCCGGAGGATTCAAGTCGACAGCTGTCAAAAGGATTTTTTT